GTGTGAGTTTGTGTGTGTGATGCCCCTTTCAGTTGTTTTATGACACATCACATGGAGGAATTTCAAAATTCCCTCCAAAAGAAAAGGATTGACAAGATTTAGGGACATACACAGTACAATCTGTTCAGGACCATCCCATCCTCTGAGGAGGAAATCCCCAAAGAGTGTCCTGGAAGCATCAAGAAGAGGATATAAGCCGAGGTATGTCAGAGAACAGAGAAAAGCAATGGAGTGTTGCTTGGAGCTGGTGCAGAACATATTGATGCATACCACCCAAACTCTGAGGGGTGCAAGATTCCAGGTGCTTACCTAGGGTTCATGTTTCCTTTTGGAATGAGGCATAGTGGAGACTGTGGTATCTTTATGATATATGGTTTATTCACAAATATATACAACCTGAGACAATGATGGAGGGGTTCACAGCTAACACCCCAAAGGGTATTGGGTCCTCTCATAGCCACAGCCTTGGATTCAAACAAACATCAAAAATTGTTCTCTTTCTCTCCAGCTTGTTGTGTTTCCTTCCAGGTCACATCCCTGCCCCCAAACACTCAACCCTGGCTCTCCCCTGCCCTGAATTGAGGGGTGGTATTTGCCATCTCCCACACTATCCCTTAATCTTGCTTAATGGTTCATCACCCAGGCTATCGCCTCATCAGGAAGATAGCTTGGCTTGATTTAGATTTTATCACTTGCTGGTTCCAGTGATTAGTGGGGTCTTGCATCCAGTTTAACTTCCCTAATTCAGAACACTATATAGAAAGAAGAATTCCTGGATGCCAGGTTTGGGGCAAGTACTCTTTGGCATGAGAACTCCAGCAGTTATTTAAAATCACAAAATAAGGAACAAAGTACAGGATGGGAATATAGGTGGTTAGACCTTTAAAATATGCTCTTGAAAAAGAGTTCCTTAATGTCTTTTACAAACTTACTTTCTCAGGTTTCCCTCTCCCCCCCCAGCATAAAAATCACTTTACTTAAAAACTCTTCAAAGGTCAGGTTCGTGGACTTCAGATAACTGCACAGCCAGTAAAACGTGGCTTAGCTAGAATGTAGTGAAAATTCCTAAATGGTATAAGAACACAAAAGTGGCTTGTGCGAGCCATGCAGCTAAGCTGGATCAACCAGTTTTCCACACACCGAGTTCATCAGATAGATGGGGGTGTTTGTGACAATCAGCTTGTTTACCTATTTCCTCCCAAGGTGAGGGGAAGTGACCTAGGTTAAGCCTGGCAGGACAGCTTACTTTATGGTATTAACCACTTCATGCATTAAGCATACTGGCTGTATGATGCTGGTTATCCCACAGTTGGGAGTCAGAGAAGCAGCTGGAGTGTGTGGTGAGACTGGCAATTGGAAAGATGAAAAACGGAGGACAAAGAATGAGAAGAATGAGATGGGAGGGAGAATGGAAATGCAGGGAAAGGGTTTGGAGGAGGAGAGCCAGCTAGCTGAAGTTAGGATTCAAGAATGGGTATTTAGCATTTCATATGGACGATCTGTTCTGGGCATTACTTTGTATATACATACCCTGGTGGCGCTGTGGGTAAAACCTCAGCGCCTAGGACTTGCTGATCGCATGGTCGGCGGTTTGAATCCCCGCGGCAGGGTGCGCTCCCCTCGTTCGGTCCCAGCGCCTGCCAACCTAGCAGTTCGAAAGCACCTCCGGGTGCAAGTAAATAGGGACGGCTTACCAGCAGGAAGGTAAACGGTGTTCCGTGTGCTGCGCTGGCTCGCCAGATGCAGCTTGTCACGCTGGCCACGTGACCCGGAAGTGTCTGCGGACAGCTCTGGCTCCCGGCCTATAGAGTGAGATGAGCGCACAACCCTAGAGTCTGTCAAGACTGGCCCGTACGGGCAGGGGTACCTTTACCTTTACCCTTAATACTGGTTTTAGCTAACTGTGTCATGGTCTGAATGTTGTCAGGCAGGAGCATTTTCAAGCCCTACATGGGATCTGGACCTGGAATCTCCTGGATGTAACACAGGTGCATTGACTGCCAAGACCCCTTCAACCAATAGAGCTAAATAAACGTAAAACATGTTGATGTCACAGGAGTGAAGCTTTTTGCATGTTACAACCGTTGGCACAAAATGTATTGTGGGTTTACACAATTTGACACAATCACAAGAGTGCAAGTGCTACTGTTTCCTCTGATATAGCCATCTGTTTACTTCATCATTACCACATCTCAACCTTTCCTATAAATAATGAACTTCTGAACAGATGGTATTATCAGTGTTATATGGCTGTTGTAGAGTGCTTCTATCTAATAGGCAATGCATATTGTATTTTTAATAAGACAGAGGCGTAGGTGTCTTTTTGATCAAGGTGGCTAGTCCAACTCCCTGCAATGCAGGCATCCTGTCCACAGCCATATATATAAAATAATTACATCAGAAAAAAACCCTCTCCCACATGACATATATCAATAAGCCTCCATTTCATATGGTTCACTCATCCCCACCTAACTTCCAATGTGTTGGGAATTTTAAAAAGGACAAGAATTTAAGAAAAACGCATTTATAAAAATTATGTCTTGCTAGCATTTCCCCCCCAGTAGTTGGAATAACTGTATTGCTTATATATCTATACTCCGTACCGTATCACAATTTCAAGTATTCTTTTTATTTTCCCTTTCCCTTTCTCACTGAAAATTTTCAATACAAAGTAAGTATGAAAAAAAGAATTTAACAAAAATGGCAGGAATGCTTTATGGCACATAAGGTATTGGAAAAATTATTTTAAAGAGCGATCCTAGGATATTCAGCTCCATTAGATACACTGTACACACACACACACTTGAACTGCATGAATGAACTAAATTACCAAAACCAAAGAATTAGCACCCCTCATAATCACAACAGCCAGGATTCTCTGTGCATAATATTTGAGAATACAAGTTACACCCGCCTTCAGGTAATGGATAAACCAAATGGTGGATTTTGAAATTAAACTCACCATGTGAGAAAAATGAAAAATACAACTATGGAGCAAATTTACTGTAAACTTATCTCCTTTTATTCATTTTTGTAAAATGAACACTTTATAATGAAATATGCAGCTTTTGTTTTTTAAAGGTTATTCCAGATACTGTGTATAGTTTTGTCCCATGTTGTGTTGTAAAGTTTTTTGTTTTTTTTTAAAGTAACTAAACAGTAAAAGGAGGCAGAGAACAAAATGCAGGGAACTATTCTGGCAGGATGCAGGAGTGGTATCTGGGATTTTGTGCATTTGGACTACTGAGTAAAAAACAGGGCATCGTCTTCCAGAGGCACCAATCTTCCTCGGGTCAAGGCAATGGTGTTTTTAAATGTCTCATTTTGGCTTCTCTTCTGCCAGAAATATGCTTTCCAATACCACAAACTCTAGATTACAGGACTAGGTGGAATGACATGCATACAAGAAACATTTTCGTAACATTCTTCCTGTTAGCGTTTGAGAATGGGCAAGGCCATGTACAAAGATAGGAATAAAATGCAGCGGCAGAATCCCACGTTTGCTGGGGTTTTCATCAGAAAAGCAGGCAACAAATCCTTTTTTAAGTTTGACCAAAGCAATCCTCACTATTGCACTGAACAATTAGAAGGGTTTCAGCCTCCATAAACCTTGGATACGGCAAACGAACAAACATACAATCTCAAAATTGTATGTTTTATGTGACAAGACACAGGCCTGCTTGATAGCTTCCCCACAGGTATCTGGTGAAAACTGGATGCTGGAGTAGATGGGCCATTGGTCTGATTTAGCAGGCTCTCTGTATGTTCTTAGCACACTGAGAAAACTCCTGGCTTCATTAATAGCACAGAAAGGAAATTTTAACAAACAGCATTTTCCACCAGAGTGCCATAGTGACGAAAGGAACTGTTCCCTAAAATGTACTGGCAGGCTTATGTGAGATTTTCCCCAACCCACTTTGCGACGAACCACTTCTCTTTGCAAGATATTAGTTGCTGGTACTCAGCTATTCATTGGTTGCCACTAAACAATACTTTCGAGTTGGGCTGCTGTCCCTAGGCTATCATGACTTTCACATGTAGCTTATCTCAGATGTCACCATTCTCAAGGATGGGTACAATACTCTTTGTAAGGGGAAACAAGAACACGGGGACTCTGTGCATTTTATATTAATTGCTTTACTGAAGATGTTCTTGAGATGCAATTTGGGGTTTTCAGTTGTCCACTACCATACTAGTTGTCCACTCTTCTAGGATGGCAATTTAGTGTTTGTCCGTGATAAAAGGATCTGAACAGATATATTTAGAGTTCATTATTTGGCCAAAACTGCTAAAGGTATTACTAAATTTGAAATACTCATGCTAGTGAAATACTTAAAATGCTCATGGCTATATCTCTGTCATGGTTATTCATGATAGCCTATATTCCATCAACATGTGGGATATTTGTACAGAATGATTTTATGGTCATAGTTGCTAAGGCAACTTTCCATTAGAAACAAAAATTTTGAAGGCCTTAAGCATTCAGCCCAAAATAAATGCATAATTGCAATAATCTAGGGATACTGCTTTGCGAGGCAAGACTCCCTACAGAAACATGACTTGCTAAAGTGATACAGATTCCTCCTTCAATCCTCTCCCCAACCAGATTGTGTATGTCTTGATTGGTATGCAAGACTATGAGGCACAAACTATTTGTTTCTTGACATGCAGAAAACTTCCAGTGCCGAAGCTTGATCATTTCTAAATAATCAGGATGAACTGTGCTGTTAATGAGAGAAGTAAAAAACCCAAACTCAACCCCACCCCCATGCTCAAAACTCTAATAATCTAACAAATTCCCATTCGGATATGAAGCTTTGCAGATCCCCTTAGATTCCACAGAAGGCAGCTGTGCACTGTTGGCATGTATTCAGAATGCGTACACATGCATATTACTAACACTGGGAAGCAGGTTTGATCAAAGTAACATAGAGGTCAACTTGCCCGAGAAGCTAACTGATTTGACCACAATTAGTTACAGAAGAATCACATACACATAATTTTCTTTAATTGCAGTTTATTGAGCATCTTCTATTATATGACGAACACGTTATTCCCACTGATGCCATTTTGTTTCAGTCTCTGGACTTTATGCCACCCTGCACCATTCCCTTCACAACTGGAGAAACAAAGGGCAACGAACAAAACCCATAAAAAGAAGGAAGGAAGGTCTCTTGATGCTTTATATACCCTACAGAAATAAGAGAGAAATGGTCACCGTAATATAAAACCAAGGAACTGGAATGCTGGGGAGGGGGAATGGAGAGACAAGTAGCACAAAAACCACCATCAGAGTAGTTGGCTTCGTCGTTGGTAGCCACCAGAGACTCATCAAGGATACTGACTAGCCTTGAAGATGGTTCTTCATTATTGGGGAAGAAAGAGGTATAGTAGAAAATATGAGCTCAGGTCAAACAAGCATGTTGCTACCATTACCCCCCTGCCATGCATTACCTGTCCTCTGGCGAGATAGTGGCAGTCTCTGGGGCTGCTGACCCAGCATCAGAGTCCTGTGAAAATATTGCATAGAAAGGGGGGGGGAGTGCATAAGTAGTTTCACAAGCTCAACAGTACTCTATTCTCCTGCAGTTACAAAGCTTGCCTCTGGAAATGTCATTTGGAACAAAAACAGTTCTGGAATTCGTGGAGAAGCAGTTTTGCCTCCAAGGCCTTCTAGAGCAAACTGCAATCTTGCTTATTCCTCCAAACACTGGGTCAGAGGCTGGTGGGGCTCCTGCTACCCACTTTTCTGAGGGACAGGTGAGTCTGTGTGAAATCTTCATGTGAAAGGAAGGGGGAAAACACTTTAGTAGCAATTCTCTTTGCTCCTTTATCAAATGAATTTGCAGTATTTGCCAGTACCTGCAGACTAACCATATGATTGAAAGTCTGCTTTAGTCAAAACTAAAAATCCAGTAGCCCAAGAACTCAAGACTGTTAGGACACAAGTGGAATAAACTCTGCAGGTTGCACAAAGTAAGCAATTTGAACGTGTTCTTTTAAAATGCACTTGGGGGAAACTAAGCCCCTCCCTTCTCTTATTGCATTCCACTGCAGCAAGAGTTTCTCTAGAGTTCAGCTTCCTTTGCTAATAGGGCTTGACTGGGCAGGAGAAGCGGCAAATTTTTAGAAATACTGGAATGTAGCAAGCTAAGGCAAGAGGGGTTTCATTCTCTTTACTGACACTGCTTTTCATGCAAAATTAGATCCAGCCTAACCCCCTTGTTCTGCATATGAACAACACACACGTACACAGTTGTCTTGTCACATCTAGTTTGACTCATAGATGGTCACGTCACCTTTTGTTCAAAGTTTCTATTTGGATGGAAGAATAGCTTCACGCGGTGCCCAAGGACTGATGCGGCTGTAGGGAGCAAGAGGGAGGAATCTTGAGAAGACACAGGAGTGCCTGGTAAAGAAAGTAGCTGAGGTCTTGGAAGAGGAGACCCCCAGAATGCGGCAGCTAGACTGGTGACTGGGGGCAGCCGCCGAGACCACATAACACCGGTCTTGAAAGACCTACATTGGCTCCCAGTACGTTTCCGAGCACAATTCAAAGTGCTGGTGTTGACCTTTAAAGCCCTAAACGGCCTCGGCCCAGTATACCTGAAGGAGCGTCTCCACCCCCATCGTTCTGCCCAGACGCTGAGGTCCAGCGCCGAGGGCCTTCTGGCGGTTCCCTCATTGCGAGAAGCAAAGCTACAGGGAACCAGGCAGAGGGCCTTCTTGGTAGTGGCGCCCGCCCTGTGGAACGTCCTCCCATCAGATGTCAAAGAGATAAACAACTACCTGACATTCAGAAGACATCTTAAGGCAGCCCTGTTCAGGGAAGTTTTTAATCTGTGATATTTTACTGTATCTTTGGTTTCTATGGAAGCCGCCCAGAGTGGCTGGGGAAACCCAGCCAGATGGGCGGGGTACAAATAAATTATTATTATTATTATTATTATTATTATTATTATTATTATTATTATTATTATTATTATTTAGAGGCACGAAGGAGGGCAGTGTAAAAAAGCTGGACAAGTTATTTCAAATTACACCTTTTTTCCATGACAGAACTGAAGGCAGTGTGCCTGGAGCTTCCATGAGCTTTGTGTAGCTTTAAACCATTACTAGCCTTTATGCGGCGTGTATAGGGTGCTGGGGGAGAAGTAGTGCCTCTGGTGGGGGACATGCCATGCTCCTTCTGGGGTAGTTCGTCCACTATTCGTCCCCACCCTGCAGTCAGCTCTCACCTGTGGCTCCTAGAAGCTGTCAGAGCGACAGCGGCCACATCCTGGGAATGGCATCGACTGGCTGACTAAACCAGGTGAGAGTAGCTGATGGGTCTCAAACCCTTGGTGAGTTAGGGACTTCCCCTGAATGCGAATACAGGCTCCACTGGATTGAGCAAGAGTGGGTCCAACGGTCAAGAAGGCGATTTCTGCATGTGCTGCAGAGGGAAGTGAGGGACAGATGGGACTAGTCAACCTGGGAAGGTAGCTCATCTAGGAAAAGGCAAACTCTGATCCTAAACTCTGTTGACTCATGAGATATATTCAGGAGAAGAGCAAGCTAAGGAGCAAACCCTACACAAAATCCGGAATGGAGTGTCTAAGATGGTTGGATGGTGCCTGATACGTCTCCTTCCTGCAAATCCTGCAGCCAAGAAGGGCCAAGACGGGAGTCTTGTCATCTGGGCAGCCCAGGACCTCCATACACACTGCCCAGGCTTGCTTCCCAGGGAGGTCACTTTAGTACTGCTAATGCAGCAGTTTGGCTGCGCCCTTAGAGGTGCACTCCGTTGTCTATGAAGACAGACAGATTTGAACAACAACAACAGCCCTTATGTACAGGACCATGAAAAAGGAGAGCAAAGGGAAGCAAGGGTTGGAGAAATGAAGGCACTGAAGGAAAGCTGTATTAGGCAGGACATAAAAGGAGCGGGGTGCGCTCCTGTTGTTCGGTCCCAGCGCCTGCCAACCTAGCAGTTCGAAAGCACCCCCGGGTGCAAGTAGATAAATAGGGACCGCTTACTAGCTAGCGGGAAGGTAAACGGCGTTTCCGTGTGCGGCTCTGGCTCGCCAGATGCAGCTTGTCACGCTGGCCACGTGACCCGGAAGTGTCTCCGGACAGCGCTGGCCCCCGGCCTCTTGAGTGAGATGGGCGCACAACCCTAGAGTCTGTCAAGACTGGCCCGTACGGGCAGGGGTACCTTTACCTTTACCTTTAAAAGGGGCTCTGGAAACTAGAGGGAGACGGGGGTGGGAGAGGAAGAATTTTGCATATTAACTCAATCAGTGAAGAATCTGGCTGCATATCTCTAACTCTGTAGCAATGGTTTCAATTTTTTTAAAAAAATGCGTGAGAGTGCAGTGTCTCTGGCTTTTTTCTACTCCCCCTTTTAAGCACAAATCACATTTTATTACAAGTACTCAACTGAGAGATTGGTCTGCAGTACTTATGTAGACCTACATATCAGGCGAGGGGCAGATGGGCTGACACCTTGGCTCTTTGTTAAACAGTGGCACAGCAGCAAAGGAAGATTGAAGTGCTGGCTCCTAATGCTCCTCTCTCCTTTTCACTTAGAAAGCTTTCCTCCCAGCTGCTTCCCTTGGCCCTCCAGTGACATGAACACACTCATCAAGTATGCCAGCTGGGAAAAGCAGGTGTGGTGGAAAGACTACAGGCATGTCTGTAGTATGCACTGAAATCAGCATTCTTTAGCCACATTAAAAAGAGAGGACCTGGGTGAAAGGATGCTAGGTTATCGAATTACTCCTTAGACACAGGTGACTAGTGCATGACTACTTTTAATGAATTTAATTTTATTATTTACATTGTTTTTAGCAAGTTTTTATATGAAATGAGCTTAGGGAGGCATACAATCAATGGTCCAGTTCACACATCACTTTAAACTACAGTTAAGTTAGTGCACTGGGAGAAAACCAGGACCACATCACTCTTTCCTAGTCCTGCTATTCTGCAATACAGTGGTACCTTGGTTCTTGAACTTAATCCGCTCCGGGAGTTCGTTCGACTCCTGAAACTGTTCCAAAACCAAGGTGTGGCTTCTGATTGGCTGCAGGAGCTTCCTGCACTCAAGCTGTGAACCAGTTCAAGAGGGAGTGCTATCCCATCTTGCACAAACTGAATGCCTCCTACCCACCCACTAATCACACCTCCAGCTTATCTAGGTTGAGCTTCAATTTATTAGCCCGCATCCAGTCCATTACTGGAAATGAGGTTGCCACATCTGAATTAGAGGGAGTTGGATGACACCCACATACTAAGGTCGCTTCAAGCCAAATTCTTGGCCATCACTCAGCAAGTTCAAGTAAATATCATGGGGTAAGAGACCCAGGGCCTGTTCAAGATGTTTTGCTGCCTGAGGCAGATCAGCAAATGTTGTCCAGCTGCCACCTGCTCCACTGCTTCCTCCTGCTCCAGCGTTTCTCCCTCCCCACGCTCTGCACCTCCAACATGACTGTTGCACATTGCACTGTGAATAAAGGCCTTGATCCACCCCACTGTTTTTCTAAGTCAGTCTGTCACATATCTCTTGGAAGTCTCTTCAAATGCAAAAAGGGTACTTAAGATACCTGCTCCTCTAAGGCACCCTACTATGTGCTCTGTAGGTGGAAAAAGATAACTTGTTGCATCATTATATCATTCAGGGTTGTCTTGCTTTTTCTAACTGAAGTTCTGTCTTGTAAGCATATCCAGTTTCCATGCAATTCCGCCCCCCCCCCCCCGAAATAAGACAGGCAGCCCAAAACTCATGTTGTGCTTTTCATAAATGTCGTATTTCAGACACTCAAAAAATCATTGAGAAGCAAGGGGCACCTAGGTCTAACCAAACACAGAACAAGTTCACATATGTGGCAGCACCAACAAATTGTTTCCACAGAATCCTATTATCCACAAGCAGTACTGCATGGATTCTAGTGATTTCTGCAATCCCAGCAGCCATTCACTTGCACATTAACTCTTATCTTACACAAAGCTGTTCAGATGGCAAACCATGAACATTTGGTGGAAATGTCTCATGGGTTTATTGTTGTTTATATTGTGGTTAAAATCTGTGGCACATTAACTCCCAGATTAACTGTGATCTAATGGGCACAGTAATGATCACAAGCAAGTGGTTGTAAAAGATCTCTTATGGCAATTGCTTGTACAGCTACAATTGATTTCCAACATATGAAGTTTCAAGGGGCAGTTTTGGAAAAAGTCTGTAGGGAAAATATGAAAGTCGAAGAAATCTTACTTTAATATGTTTTGAGATCATAAATATTTGCATCTCATTCCACTCAGCTGCTGATAATTTTCCCCAATGAGTTCTATTTCTAACTGCTCATTCCACACAGCATTGCCTACATGAAGTATGAGCCAATGGCTCTTTAATGCAGAACATTCCTTGGAACTGAAAATCTGGGCCACAGTGAGATCAAATGTCAAATTTCACATTCCATTTCTGTTATAATGAAATTTGTACAGAGTCATTTCCTTCACCTTGAAATACATGAGAAGTATAAATACTACATGGAAAATGCCTTTGAAATGGAAGTGATAAAAATACAATCTAGCAGTACTTTTTGGAAGAAAGTGTTACATATTTTTAACATGAGCAAATGGATGCCCTAGGGGAAGGTTGTGATAAACTAGTCAGCAACCATCTCTTAAAGTACTGTGTAACATGAAAGCCAGACAAGCACACGCAGGTCTGTCAGCCCTCCATAATGGCTTTTGTCAGTATTCCAGATTAAGGAGAAATGTGGAGTGTAAAGATCCATTATTGTGGTTAAGAATTGACCAAGAGTCAGACTCACCATGCAGATTGACAAGTCAGGGAAGCTGCCTCTCATCTTTGCACGTTACACCAGCTAATGTTTTGGAATCCATCTCTCCACACATGGCAGCATTCTCAGTTCACGGGTGCCATCTGAATAAGTTCCTTCTTCTGCTGCCACCTACCAGTTTTATTACTCTGTTGCAGCACAAGGGTATATAGAAGAAGTTCTTGTTCAGCTTGCAGAAAAATCATACAATGGGGATCCTTTTAAGGCACCAAAGCTTTTTTCAAGCTTTCCCCCATATCCACCCACACCCTTCAAAAAGAGTTCTGGACAGACGATACTCAGTAACAGGCTCTGGAAGGCCTCCCTACAGATGGAACTATCTGGATAAAGGACAGATTAAAATAGGATAGGCAAATACCACCTGGCGCTGCTACCACGTGACTTCCATACATTTCAATAGGAAGGGTTGTGCAGCAGCTTTGCTGGTTGGGTTGAGCTCAACTAATTTCCAGGTACTGTAGAACCCAGAAGGCTATTTAATTCTTTCTTATAGCATATTAGTAGCTACAGATCTGAAACACACGACCTGAGCCACATAGAACATCACAAAGCCAAACAACTTTTACTGAAGACGTTAACACCTTCCTGGGCTCCCAAAGGGGGAAAAAGTAGCACCTTGTTTTAACCTTTGTTGGGCACTGTTCACAAACACTCTTCCCATAGACTCCGACTGCTTCAACACCACTCTCAACCTTTCCCCTGCCCCCTTGGATCTCTCTCCTCCCAGGAGCAGGGACAATGCTTCCTGAGGTGTTCCTAATCCATTGAGAATACTTTCATTTTCAGCAAAGGGACTGCAACTGATTACCTCCTTTAAGATGTCAATTCACAAGGGCGCAGCCAATTTAAAGGAAGAAATCTGCAGCATGAACTTTTCCTTCACGAGAGCTTTAATTGCTCACCAGGCTTTCAACCACCTCCTTTAAATTAGCCAGGTGTTTGCAAATTTACAGGAGGAGGGAACACACTGCAAAAGCATGCATATATATATATATATATCATTGTCCCATTTTTCATAGAAAACAAAAATTACAAGAGGGTGCATTTGTCAAAATGTTTGCAAAATTATTCTGCCCTCTTCAGCTAGCTCTAAAAGGTACAACCATTTCTTTCAGCAATCAAAGGACAAAAATATATTCAGAAGTAAACCTTCCATGCCAAGTGAAAAGGAGAAGCAGTAAAAACAATATGCAATAACAACTGTGAAATCTTAAAACATAAAAAGTCAAATCCTGCACTAGCGCTGCTTAAAAGATGTACCAAGCTACAAATTTCAAAACATGTTATGGGGTTAAACTGGCAAAAAAAAGTTTTGCTTTAGGCGGTGTGCACACAAAATGTTAAAAGACAGCAACACTGAAAAATGACTTATTTCCAACTTGTACACTAAAAAAATGATTTTAAGAGTGTTTATCTGAAGCATTATATTCTTCCTCATTAGAAAGTACCTTCAATATAGGCTATATCGTTGCAGTTGCAGCACTATACAAGTTTTGGGCTGTTAATAAATAGTTTTCAAAGTTATCAAGAGATCATTTGAATCACCAAGTATTACTGACATGAGTACCATCCTCAACAGGACATACTAAAAATGTCTGAAAACGTCACCCTCAAATGGCCTTAACAAAGGATAATAACCAGCCTCCTCCCCCCCCAGCTCTGCTATAAGAAATTAATTTTATATATAACTTTGTACAGCTAGTTTTTCATACCTGTTATTAATTGATGCCGATTAGTTTTGTGCTGATTGTGCCCCTGGAAAGCACCAAAGCCCTGTAAAAACTTAAGCCAAGAGTGTATATGGGGGGGGGGAGGGGGAAGGGAGTGAGAAGAGCAAGACAGGAACATGGGAGGGTGGAGATGGCAGAATTTATGGAATTACACACCATCCCACCACTCCTTTCTGAAGCAGTGCATGTTGTTTAAACTCATCCTTGCCATGATCCTACTTGAACACATGGATCCTGAAAAGGTTTATTAGAACATGGCTCTAGCAAAAAAAAAGCAAAAAACAAAAACAAGAAGAACTCAACATGCTTCCTAAGCCTCATTCTTTCTGGACAGTAATAATATTAAAACTAGGGTGTTAGAAGAAAGGAAAGCAATGTTAGCAAACATGGGATGATCAAAAGAGCTGAAAGTTACCTGCCAACAGGTCGGTACTGGATGCCACCAAACTGCTGCGTTTACTGTTTTACCACAGGGGGGAAAAGTTTAGGGAGGAACATTCTCAAGGATTTTTCACAAGCTCTTTCTCTTGCCATCAGAAAGGGGAGAAGGGAAGTTTTTCTCTGGATTGTTTGACTTTTTTGGCTCCTGAAAAGTTTTGCAAAGAACAGTAAGAAAGTGTGAACTGTTAGAAACATCAGCAAAATGAATTATATGTATATAAAAGTTTACATAGCAGAACAGTGTTCCCCAAGAACTACAAATTCCCACCCTAAAACATGGACAGTGCATTAATCAAATAAAAGACATTCAACTGAAAACTGGTACATGAGGGGAGTATGGAAACTTCCAACAATGGTCCAAGCCACCATCAGATCATCCCAAAAATCACCCTCCAAGGTCAGGAGACTCAAAATAAAAGTAAAAGAAAACTAAAGGAAAAAGGTAACATTTCATTATTAATCCTACAATAATTTGCATTTTAGGAATTCCTAGAACAGAGAAAAATTAAAAATAAAAAGAGACAGTAGCAGCAGAGGTTACCTGTCTGAGCACCTACAATTCCATAGAGAGAACAGGAGTGGGTCGTGAGTCTCACACCAGCCAAATAGCTCATAAACCTTCTCAAAAAGAGTGAGCCATGAGAAAGAATTGTACATGTTGATACGTCTTACAATGCTTAAGCCCTTACACATTTAACCTACATGGGCTTTGCTTTTCTAAACTGGGAGACTTATTAGAAGTTTAAATGATTTATTCCACTTGTTGATTCTGGTAAGAGTCCGGTGCAGCACCTCTCGTAGAGTTCTTTTTAATTTTTATAAGCATCGCAGGTCCAGAACATTTTTCTTAGGAGATAATCCACATGAGGCATTGCCGGCAAAGTCAGTGAAGCATGATCACACAGTTTGAAAGGTGAGTGCAACCCAACAAGAACAAAAGTAGTCCATGAGTGTGCTGTCCTTCCATCATTTATTACTGATGATCTATCACAGTGTTCCAGAATGAGAGGAGGGTTTATAAAATTTATCAAAACATTAAGACATTAAAGATCTGAAAACATACAAAGCTATAAACACAATCTGCATTTCTACACAATACAAAAATGTATGAGGGTAACCATTTTATCTGCAGAATTTGCTATATAGAAGTACAAACATATTAAAAATACAAATAAAACATATGGAATTCATCAAGCTCCACCCACCACCACACATCCCAGCAACTTTGCTTCCATTTGTGTTATGTCATTGGCTAAGCTGATACTATGACTTCTGTCTTACCAAGAGCTCATTTCAACATAAAGTTTCAAACTATGATCAGCAACGCTGGTGCTCTTACTGTATTTAAGTAAATATTCTTCAGAAAAGTGTGACATGTAGCATTAGCTTGTGTGGAAGTTTCACCCTGATTAGTAAGAGCATGATTTATTTTCTTTACCTGATAGGTATGTTGTTTTAAAAACCTTCTACCATGACATTTCCCTGGTGGAGCTACGATAGGCAGGGTAGGGGATGAATCTACAACCCTTGTTTTTTTTAAGTACAATTTCCTGTGAGATTTTAGTGCAACTTTTCTTCTCCCACAGATTAGCCACAATTTCCTCCAATCTCACAATACGTCCATGACCATCTCATGACAAGTAGACAAATCAAAGCTTGAAAAACTCTTCATGTTTCGTTTGTGTGTGTGTGTTTTGTTGTTTTTTAGAAAGAAATGTGTGCTTCATTGCACTGTGTTTATATTGGTGTAAACTGGGTCTAGGAATTTGGGGTGGGGAACAAAGACACGTGAGTGTGAAAATCAGACTTCTCACTACCAGTTTTGCTCAAGCAACGTAGACTAAATGCAGCCCATATCAGAACTGTCAAAGAGTTACCAGTTCCTTCCTGGATTCACTTTGTTTCTTTTCAGTGAGTGATTCAGAGATTTGTAAAGTTCTATCAGATAACAGAAGGATAATTCTTTGCTCAAATTCCTGAAATATGCTCAGTGTTTCAAAGCACATATAAGGAAAAAGATTACCCAACTGGGTCGTCAGAGAAACCTGTATTTTAGAAGACACGTGTAGCTGGCAAAGGGTTGAAGAACCACCAACCAGGAAAAAATTTGTCAAAGATTGGGCTTTGCCTGAGTTGCTGGGTGTTTGGGGTTTTTTAAATGAAAACCTTTGTATCTTTTGTTCCAACCTGGGCACTCAATTTGCTTCATCAGCTAATGTCAACAGTCAACCTTCCACTTGATTTAAATAATATTTAATTCTACAAAAAAAGAAGAGTACATATTTTAAAAAACAAAAAAAAATGTACAAACAAGGCATGACCAAACCTCCATGAAAGCAGGTTAACACTTTTCTGTTTATTGCCGCCTGACGCCTCTCTGCGTAGTAATCCTCAACTGGTGTGTATTTAAGATCCGAGTGAAGGTTAGACAGCCAAGTGGAGAGGATGGGCCAGAGGAATGAAGCTCAGAGCCTCAGAAGGCAGAGGGGCCAGGCTCCTTTGAGGCATCCAGATAAAAGCAGCACTGCACACATAAGCTGCCCACCCTCCAAAAACTTTCCACAAACCATCTTCCTGTTGCAAACATTTTACTATGTGGTGTTGTTTTTTTTAATATAAAAAGTAATAGGATTCTGTATATATTGTTTCCATGTTGTACACACCCCAAAGAAAATAAATGAGTGAGAAATGGGTGAGGAGGAGGAAGGTGAGGCCATTAAAACAGACCCAAAGCTGCTGTTTTGGTTCTTTTATCAAATTTAATAAGAAAATGCACAGCCAGAAGTATCAGGATTGGGTAGGGGTTGGGAGAGGAGATCATCAGGCATTCTGGAAAAAAGAGTGACGAACTGGACAGACAAAAAACCAATGACAAAACAAAGCAAAATACAGACACATACATAGGGGCCTGAGATCCACAGAAGTGTGGCCTTAAATCATATTCCCATTCTGGCTGGGCCTTACTAGCAAAGTGTCCTATGTTGTTGCCCAAAACCTGCTTATTTCTCTTCAAGATTTATTCTTAAGGAAGTCACTTTAGATTTTAATGTGTTCTGCAGAGAAACGTTACTAATAGTAGTAACACGTTAAGTTTACTCCAAGGTGGTTGTGAAATTTGCAACCACTTCAACCCTCCTCCACACCCCCTCCCACATTTTTCAGGTAATAGATTAAAAAAAAAAGGTGTCTAGTTTTTGTTTGTTAAATAGTGGTGATGTTAAACAGTATGGGTATTTTCAAGTTTGGCCACTGTTAAAGATGCAGGCATGGAGAAGGAAGTGTTGGACGAGCATGTATTAAAAACGAAACATTAACATAGCATATATCTTGCAAAAAGGACTAAAACACTAACAAATACAAGTCAATGCACATTTGTTTTAAACTAGTGTTATTCTTTTTCACATCGGATTAAACATTATTTTGTACACCAAAAGTTAACAGTGCTGTTTATCTTTGCCTTTTGCGCAAAAGAAAACATGCCACTTCTGCCATCAATGAACAAGACTGAAATTTAGACACACCTTCTCCCCCCACCCCAGGAATTAAAATAATTTCTTAAAAATCCACACATACTAAAATCTTTCTCCAAAAGAAAGTGGTTTGTTTTAAATATAAATGTATGGACATAAACCCATCTGTTAATACTGAAATGGCAGAAGTCACAGGTTTGGTTCAAAAGCTCATGCTGAACTAATAAATGCTGCACCCTGTTTAATTGCTTTAAGGGCCAGACTTCTGAGGCCATTACAGACTGTTTGTCAGGGATGCGAATTCTCACAGATCGTACAGATGTTAGATGGGAAATGCCGATATCTAGAACCTTTGGATGAAACAGAAATTGGCTGCCCTAACCTATAAACTCCTAATGGGACAAAAAGCAAGGGGTATAAAATAACCAATAGGACTGAGCGCTAATGAGGTGAGGGGATGGTTACAGACAATAGTTTACAAATGCTTTTGGAGAATTAAAACTTCTAAGTTCCGAAAGCACAAATCAAGCTGAATCACTTCCCAATGAACCCACATGCTCTGCATTGAGTTTAAAAATCACAGTGGCATCCCTAATGTCGCAAAGGTTCCAACCCCCTCCCCCACACAAATGCAGGTTCTTAATTGGGCATGACCAAAGGGAAATTGGCTGTCAAAAATATCAACTAAACGTATGTTCTGCAAAATCAATAAGTAGCAAAAAAGCAGCATTCACAGAACATGCGTTTTGATCTTGATCCCCAGGCTAAAACCTCCCTTCACCTCCATAAGCTGCTTCTGATATACAGCACTACAAGTAGTTGTTGTTGTTTTTTAAAAAAAATGTACAAGAAAGTTGGTCATATTTATTTACATGTGGCATCACTCCACCAGGAGCTTAATCTCATTGGCTATTAGCTGGTTCATGTTGAATATACCCCCCGGGAGCTTGGTGAGCAACTCTCTCTCTGTGGTTTCAGGGTCGCTGTCGACAGAGCTGGAGCTGGCGCTCATATTGTCGACAGTGGCGCTAGCTGGAGGGCCCAGCTCTGGCTCGCTAGTCTCGCTAGCCGTGGACACCACAGAGAGCAAGGACATGCGTCGTGTCAAGCGACCGGGGGGAAGAAGGGAAGCGGCATAGTCCGCTATGATACCAGCTACGTCTAGATTACAAGCCTTGTCAAAGGCAATGAAACCTACATTTGCATTGGCCTCGCAGACGTAGAACGAGCCATCATCCTTCATGAGGAGGTCGATGCCACATACATCCATCCCCAAGATGTTGGACACCTGGATTGCCAGCTGCTTGCCTTGTTCACTCAGCGAGCACATCATTCCTATGCCACCTGGCAAAAGAGAGAAGGGTAAATCTTAGGGCGGGGCTACTGGAGGTCTACCTATTTGGGGGCTACATCTTAAAAAAAAAACCACGGACCAAACAGGTAGAGATGCGGGGGCTCCATAACGAATAAGACTGAAGCCTTGGGGGAACATTTAGGAAAGTCTGTATCAAAAAGATGGAGTCCACCTGAATGACAGAAAACCCAACAGCTAGTGCATAAATGGATGGGCATCTGTCATGGATGTTTTAGTTGATATTCCTGCATTGGAAATGTTTGGACTAGATGACCCTTGGTGTCCCTTCCAACTCCACAATTCTATGAAAACAGGTGACAGAAAAACTTTTCAATAGACTTCCAGCAGGGGATGATGAGCGAGATAAACAGATCCTATTTTTTTTAAAAAGAATTGCTTAACAGTATTTGAATACCAGCTTTTCTGAAAGTGGTTCACGATTAATATAGCTTTACAGGCAGATGATAGTGCCCTCACATTTGGTTCAGGATCTCACTCCATGAGAGGTAAACAAAAGGAGTGAATGAAATAAAAGTAGGCATTTAAAAACTTGGTGGGATAATCAAAGCCCAAGATATGTAACCATGGATATAACAGCCACAGAAAAGATAAAAGTGGTCCAAGGAGACAAAGTTTCAAGATAAAATAAGTGATAATTCAGCCTATTTCCAGTCACACAGTTCATTGGCAGTAAGTTGGCACTTATCTTAAAAAGTGACTACAGAAATGGCGTGGAGCACCACATCACTATTCTTTTATATTTGTGACCAGATAAAACCATATAAACTGAAGGAAGCCTACTAGGTAGTATTCTAAATACCATTATCTTGTCTTTTTAAAAAATTGGTCAAGTCTACAATTTCAAAATCTAAATTTTAATGTAGCAGCTTAATTATTTGTAATTGCACATGAAACGACTGCCACTTAAATTTGATTTTAAATTCTCCTTTGCCGGCCCCAATTCCAACCAAGAATAAGCACACTTCAATTCTTACCAAGCGAGCAATTGCTCTGCATTCTACCGTCTGTTGAGCAACGCAGCATAGTGCCCACCACACGACCTCCCACTACGATGACACGAACATCTTTGCCATGGGATTCTTGGACATATTTTTGGAATAGATAAGGGGCCTCATGACGAATTAGATGGCTCAAGTCTGCCAAATGGTGCTTGTCTCTTGCCAGAAACACAGCTTTACCTGCATAAAGACAGTATAGAAGGTGAAAGGGGGAGGAGGTCAGTGAATTTTCTGCATATTTCTAAAGGGTATGAAAAACATAATCCTTAATCTCAATGCTGCAAAAAAAGTATCCTGGCAGCACTGGTGCATGTATGAATAAAATTAAAATTGGTAAAGCGCTTTGCACATTTAGTGCTATAAAAATAGCAAAATTTGAAAAACAAAACATTACCTTAAAGCAAACTCACAATTTCCAACGTTTATTCCAGTTCTCAACTCCCTCAGTATAGGTCTGCCAGTATCCTTCAATCTTGGCCTGTACCATTCCGTGCTATTCTAGTAGTACTAGGTTGCAAGAGCGTTTTGCAACAGGTTTTGGGTTCTCTAGACACATAAAACAGAGGGCTGCACCAATCACAGTCCAAAGATGACAGCCGATTCCAAGGTGCTGTGTATGATTAGCTGATGAACCCAAAATGAACCACTCCCAATTAATTGGCAGCTACTAATTAGTGCAACAGTGAAAAATATAAAAATTATTTATTTGCCAAATGCAAATCCACGGGAAGTATTAGAATTCTCAGTATCATTTAAGATGGGAAATATTCTTTTGTTGTAAATACCAGTAAGCTGAATGCAACAAAAAATCTATTTAAAAAAATTATCCCTAGAAAAATGAACCCTGAGCCAGGCCTAAAACTAAACTGATACAGACAGCTGCCTCAGGTGGCAGTGCCCCCTAAACTGGTCTTAAGGCCCCAGATGCAGTGGCGATGCAGAGCAAACAGAAGGCTGACTGCTCTTGACAAGGCAGGAAAGAAAACTGAAGCTGTGGCAGCCCACTTCACAGAAATCTGTGCTCCTGCCTTGCCCACAAGCGGTCAGTTTCTTAAGCCCTTAGGTCCTCTCAGTACAGTGAGGCTTCACAATACATTGCTTCTGAAACAGCCATAACCACACCATGCAATTCTTGATCTCCAGCCCTTCCTCTTCCTTAACTGACCTATTCAAACTACCTACTTGCCATGAAACACACAAGAGCCTGGTGAAATGAAGATAAGTCATTCCTTTTAGCAACTGATAAGGCAAGCAAATCACTTTTGCTTAAAATGTTTACTTTAGGGAAATATTTCATCCCTGTATTTATGCAATCCTGTGTCCACAGGCCTTGGACTTTTGCTTACAGGCAAATACTTTCTTTCAGACAACCCCCGAAGCCCCAAACAGCAATTCTCCTGCAAGAGGCCACATAAGAGAAACAAAAAAAAACACAAACATAAGCAATGTCCAAGAGAGGAATTTCAAAGGGAAAACCCAGCATGAAATAGCTGGACTGGAATATAGAAGTTTGGTTCTACTCATCTGGGTACGCCCCACTGCAGATGTGGATTTACTCAGCCATGCTTAGATCACTGTGTCCTCACTAGGGCTGGGCGATAAATTGATATACCATCCAAAACTGGCTTGAAGTCCATATCGTGATATCAGTTTCAAAATTTTTGACGTGGCAGTATATTGCATTCGCTATGCAAAAATCACGATGTGGGGAAAACTGTGAAGTCAGCCAATGCCTCTGCACAGCTCCATCCTTATTTCAGACATCATGATATTATCAGTATATCACAATGTTCAGCTGGTGATATATCACAATGTTGAAAGCCAGATATCGCCCAGACCGTCTCCTCACCAATTACTGCTGTTTTAAGTTGTCACTGTGTTTATTTCGCATACATTGAAGCTTTGTCTGGAACAACTGCCTGGGATATGTGTGGGTGTCCATGTGCACATGCATTTATGTGTAGCAAACATTTGCCTGTGGTGTTCCACACCAGAATTTCATCTGCAATCACCTCAGTCCAATGCACATGGCTGGTTCTGCAGGCCTGGCAACAGGGGGATTTAAGTAATTATATCTTGCTTCTGACTGCTCCTTTGACTGTGTGGTCAGAGAGTTGCCCCACAAAGCATAAATATTAGCCCTGCCTACCCAGCTACCCCTTTTCGCTGCTTCCATGTTTGTTACTGTCTAGATATCCAAAACAAGGGTTTTGCCTTAATTCCACATCCCTGCCACCACCAAAAACCAGGACTTTAACCATTATTTCCTAAATCACTGCTGAGTTCATGGGTTGGTTTCCTGTGAAAATGTTGCTTGCTCTAGTGTTTCCACTCCCCCTTGCTGGCAAAAAGCTCATTCTCCCAGAGATGCACAAAACCTTTCTTATTGGGAGCCTATGAATTCTTCAGGGTTAGCTTCAAAGAGCGCATTGCACCCTAATCAAACCATGCTAACATTACACGCAACTTAGAAGGCCACTGGGAGAAACAGACCGTATGGTGATCCTGCATATATGATAGTATCGCAATTACTATTATTTTAGTCCTGCAGAATGTTTGCTGCCGCCCCCCCAATATATATGTGTGTGTGTGTGTTTTCTTGGTTTACACAGGTATGCACAATGTCTCTTTTTTCAAGTTACATTTTCCATAGGTCAGTTTAATTTGCTGAGACATTAGGGTTACATTAGGAAGAAAGGGGGGGAGAGGTGGGGGGAGGGGGTCGCCCCTCCCCGTTGTAAACTACTATATCTTTGCTTACTAATCAATAGCTCTAGTCTTAGTATTTTCTTAAAATACTTGCTCAAAATGCAGTAATTTTATTTTGAGAAAATAACCCGAGAACCCTGCTGAATCAAACCAGCATCCTCTTTTCACAGTGCCCAGCCAGAAGCTGACAGGAAGGCCACAAGCACAACATGAGTGAAACAACACAGTCTCCACTTGTGTTTCCCAAGCAACTGGTGTTCAGAAGTAGAATGCCTCTGATACAGAGGTAAAATACAGCCATCATGACTACGGGTCATTGACCACCTTAACCTCCAGGCTATCCTCAAGGGATATCCTGAATCTTTGTTTTAATGGCTTCAGGTTGCATTTTTATTGTAATGATACTGTTTGTTTATTACACTGTAGAGTTTTAAAAAATATTAAGTTTATAAATGCTCTAAATAAATAAAATCAGAAACTAGAAAAGCTTTGTTACAAATGTTGTTCGATAAGCTTAATATAAATCAATCACTTAAACAGAGTTTAAATTCTAAATTCAAATGCTAACACCAAAATTATCACTAAATTATACTTTACACTAGCTGTGAAAAGGTAAGAATTTTTGTTCCTCTTATTAAAATGATTCAACATGCAGAAATACACATGTGATTTTGTAGCTAAATAAAACACTTGGTCTTCTACTTATCCACATGTTGAGAGAGGTACACCACTTTAGTTAAGAGGTCTAGGCAAACCTCATTTGCCCATTTCCACGATGTCTTTTTGATGTGTTTGGTGCTAGGCCCGATTGCGCATCATTTTGACATGCCTAAATTGGTCATTGCCTGTACATCAGTTTGTTATTCAGGCAAGGGTTGATACCACTACATCACTGTAAAAACCTGCATCTTCTTGTCAAGGCTGTGCTTAGGATGTTTTAAGTGTTTCCGAAATAGCAAGGAAGCTTTAGACAAAGAGCAATCCTTATTCAACATTCCATAGCAATTATGCACAGATTCTCACTCACCTCTATGACCACGTGTGTTCTTCACAACCATGGGGAATTCCAACACTTCTGCTTCATCAATCATTTTGGCAAAATTTTCATGACCACCTGGACAGAAAATATATATATATATATATGTTGCCAGTGAAGCGTTCAGCCAATTTCTAGCAAAGGCATATTCCAAAGGCCAACACAATTATTTAAGAAGGCAACCCTGGAACCCAGATTGTTCATTTTCACATCAGAATCTAAACAGGTTATCTATTCTGGCCATATGCGGAATAGAATTTCCTATTAATTTACATGTTGCTTAAAATGTGACTTTCTAATATCAAATCATCATCATATTATAACACCGATGCCTTTTCTTTCCTCAATTTTAAAAAGCCTACAATTATAGTAGAAATAATCTCAGGCCTCATGTGAGGCAGTGTCCAAGCTGCTCTGCATGGGAATGCATTTCTCCCAAAAGATCCAGTTTGCTTCCTTTTTGTATTTTTTGTATTTATATTTTATTGAAAGAATTTCAATTATCAATTTGCTTCCTGAGGGCACTGATCAATTCAGATTTCATTGGAAGTGCAAATGATATCCACAGCATGCAGCGTCTTGTACCAACTAGGGCTGGTATGCAAGCTGCAACTGCTCCTCAACAAATACAGCTTGGCCACAGTGATCCATGCCCTTATAACTGCTTGACTGCACCAATACAATGTGGGCTGCCTTTGGTGATTTCCCAGAAACTTATGTAGACTCACAACACAGCTGCTGTGTTACTAACTAGGACTGGCTATAGATCTCATCAGAGCTTACAAGAGCTGCACTGGCTGCTGCTCCATTTTTGAACCCAGTTCAAGTGTTGCTCATTCTTTACAAAACCCTACATGGGGCTTTGCTTCTTGAAGGTAGGTCTTTTCCCACACAAACTGGCTTGAACCCTTCATTCTTCATCCGAGGCCCTTCTTCTGATTGCCTGCCCTTTGAAATTAGGCATGTGGTAATCAGGGATACGGCCTTCTTAGACCTGGTGCCTTAAATATGGCTACCTTTAAATCTGTCTGGAAATCCCAAATGGTGTGGAATGCTGCTGCCTGGTTTCTGGTGGGAGCAAGGCGACTGGAGCACATAACTTCAAATCTGTACAAGTTACACTGGTTATTGGTACACCTCCCAGTCCAACTGAAAGTGCTAGTTCTGACCTTAAGAGCCCTAAGTCATTTGGGACAGAGTTGTTCAAAGGACTGCCTACATTCATATGAACCTGCCTGGATATTAAGAGATGCCTCTGAGGCTCTGCTTCTGCCTGTGAAGTCTATTTAGCTGATGGCCATGACAAAGAGCCCTTCCTGTGGTAGCCCCAGACTGGAAATTCTCCCTGCGCACACATTTTTCGCCGCCACCAATTCTATGCATCTTGCCGTAAAAAGTGATGATCACACACATGGTGCAAAGTCCAGGCATTCTTTACTCAGGTACTTGCGTATAAAATATCCAGTGAGTAACAGCCCTGAGTTATCGGATTAAATCACAGCCTGTTCTTTCTTCAGCTGAAAATATGCTACAGATCGCTACCATCTTATGAACTCTAACCTTCTAAGAAGACCAAACATTTAAAGCCTTGTTCTACTATCTCCCTTCATTTCCCTCTTTCATCAAGCAACCAGAGACGAGTATTCTGAAGCGCCAAGCTCCTTTCCAGGCCAGAAACTGAATGCTTAGTACGGGTGTGGGAAACCTTTTTCAGTCTTGGGGACCACATTCCCCCATGGGCAAACTTCCAAGGGCTGCAAGCCAAGTAGTGAGCAGGGCCAGAGCCAAAAAAGTGAGCCAAACAAAAGTGACTCGTATCTTTGTACTGTGGATCAGATTCACGATACAGGAAAGTCAAAAGTTTACCTGCACACTCTCCCCCCCCCTTTCTGCCTTCACCAAGGCAAGACTTGTCACAGTTCAAGAACGCATTCCAGGCAGGCAAAAGTATGCAAGGAGTATGGCTGATGAGGGGCCTGGCCCTAGATAGTCCCGATGTCTAGAAAGAGAAGCTTGGAGAGCCACATTTGACACACACCCCGGGCCTGAAGTTCCCCACCCTGGCTGTGAGGAAGCTGTTCTCAAGAAAACCCTGCTACATTTGCCATTCACAGGCCAGAGAAGCACCTGACACATAACCAAAGGGGCCTATGCCAGAGGTTCATATAAGACAAACTGCCTCCCATCCTTCAATTAATGCTTCCTTCTCCCTGTAACAGCAGAGCTATGGAATCAAAGGAGGAAAATTAGGTGTCAGCAGGGTGGTAAATGGGAAGACAAGGCTTAGAGGCACAGGCACTAAAAACCTGATTAGAAGCTAGCAGAACAAGCCAGAATCAGCTCTGCATTTTCCTTGTTCAGAGGAATACGTGCGCTGTAGGACATCTTGCTTCTCTTGGCAGCCCTACATTTTAACCATCTGGCACTTGAGGGGAAGAGAGAAGCCTGAGTCCAGGTCCTTGTATACACACTAAGAAAAACATATTTCTAGCCCTCCACAGACTGAATTCTTAAATACAGTCTGATGGACACATCTATCATCCTGAACATTAACTCCTAACTACCCAGACCTAGAAAAGCAGCAGCTGGCCTGCTGAGGGGCTGTGAAAAAGCAGAATGAACAGTGAGGTAACTTATGTTGTTAACCCCCATTAATAGTCCTATGCCTCAACAAGGACCACAAAATATGATGTAATGCATAGGAGTTTGTTTAGCTACATTCAGGCAGGAAATGTTTCTAGGATGGTCACCAATATAAGAACATACTGTTGCTAAGCTTCCATAAGTAAAAGCAACAAAAGATAAAAAAGCGGTGGGGGAACGGTACCTATCATCAGTGCATTAATAAAAAAACCAACATGCTTATTCCTCATTCATTCATTTTGTTTACATACCACTTAGATACCAATTCAAATTAACCATTCAATAAAAAGCTTACTTAAAATGCCTGCTGAAATTTAAAAATCCCTGTGTTCAAATGCATTCACTGGTCTTCACCCCATCCACCACTGCACCCAGGCAGAGGTTGAGATATTGCAGTCTCTCCTGACTCAGGTGTTGTGGAGAAACAGAACTGCATGTCATCAGTGTACTGATGAAACTTTGCCCCAAAATGCCTTCCAATATAGAATACTAGAGACAAGACAGTGCCCTCCAGTGCAAGGATCACAGGGCCAAAACCCCATCTCCCAATGTTATCCCCTGGACACATCCCTGCAGGTAGGAGCAGAACCACAGTAAAACAGTGTCCCCATGGTTGGTCAAGAAGGATTCCATTGTCAATGGTATCAGAAGTCGCTCACATAGAGAACTAGATACAGGGTCACACTCTCCCGGTTCCATTCTCGAACCAGTTCAACCAATTCAGTTCTAAAACTGCCAGAATCCAGATTGAAACAGATCCAGATAATCCTCTAGGAGCTCCTGCAACTGTTCTGCTATCACTCAACCACCATATCCAAGAATGGAGTATTTATGACCAGGCGGTAGTTATTATAGACCACAAAGCCCAGGGCAAGCTTCTTCAGAAGTGGACACACTAATGCCTGTTTAAGGACAGGAGGCCCAACTCTATTCTTATTTGCCACTTGGCAATTTGTCACTAGTCAAGTTGTAGAGTCTTAATTCTTTTTTTTCATTCATTCAGATTTCCCCAAACCATTCAGAGTTTTAGTAAGGATCTCACGTGCTCCAGGTACATGGTCACTATGGACAATAGCATTATTTTAATCTAGGTGGCTTACCATAGGAAAAGGTGTCTGGAAGAGGCACACCATGGCCAGCTAGCTCCTGGAAAGTCCAGAACTTATTGACACAATTAAGTATGGCTTGGGGGCGATTCATGAGCCGGCAGCCCATCTTCTCCAGATGGCGAAGAACTGTAATGTCACTGTCACTTTGGACCCATGGTGTTGGCACACGCACCACCACTACCTGTGGGTAAGCAGTGATGAGTTCCCCGTTGACTCGAAGACCTGCAGCAATAACAAATGAAGGAATGAATGAGAATCTGATAAGAAAACCAAGGGCCAATCCTCCCCTTCCCACAAAAAGTAAATAAAAGAATGCCAGCTCTAGGTAACAAAAGCATTTTAATAATCCATGTGACAAGAATGATGGAATTAGCCACAGATACACACTACTGATCCATCACTAATGCTCCAGAATACTCCAAATTGTTAACTTAAAAGTTTATCATCTTTTCAGTCTGCTTTTTTCAGCCTAGAAACCACACCCTACTTTTACAATGGTGGAACACTTTCCCCATGATCTTCTGCCAGTAAGCAGATGTCTTTATTTTTGAGTTTCCAGAGAGGCAGTCATATTAAGTGTCTTGCAGCAAAACCAACCTGCAACTCAACATAACTCCATGCATGACTGAGAATTGGTTTGTGCCTTATTTTGGATCAAATTCCTGAACAAAAGGGCCAGATTTTTTTAAAAAGAAAGAAAGAAGAAAGAAAGAAGAAAGAAAGAAAAAGACAGCAGGGGAGAAAGAAAACAATATTCCTAGCCTGGGAGGCCATTGTGACTTTAAATCCCCTGTAAAGAACAATCCATAAAAAAAGAGGGGACACACACCTTACATTATATGAATCATTTCAGAAAGAAGTGGCTCAGCAACATTGGGGCTAACACACATGCCTCAGCCCCTAGACCAGGAATGGCTAACCTGTGGGCCTGCCAAAGTTGTGGAACAACAATTCCCATTATCCCTGACTGCTAGAGTCCATCAAAGGGTTAGCTATTCAACTGCACATGTGTGATTGCCACTACTGAGTCCCTGGGTCCCATCATCAAGGCAGCACCCACAGGTTCTGTGAAGCTGATGAAGTGACAGGGAAACAAAGCCATCCCAGCTGCCTTCTCCTTCTCTGCCCTCAACAGGGAAGAACACCTGCCATTTTGAACTATGTGTTCCCAAGCCCTAGTGGAAGTGTGGGGAGAAAAGGGAGGCTGATTTGGTGTTTGATTTGTCTCTCAGGAATACACCTTCCCCAATGGGGAAGAGCCTGTGAATGGTGACTGGTTGTTCCTAGGAAATGAGGGAGAGAGAAGATAGGAAGAAAACAGTCTTGGCAATTTAAATTATGCTTCCTCCAAGTGCTTCCTCCAGTCATAGGGGAAAGGGGAAAAAAATGGTGCCAATGCAAGGCATTCTCCTTTTTCTTCTGGGGGATTCCGCCCCACTCCCACCCCCAAGCTCCCTGGAGCTAAGGAAAAGGCAATAGAAAACTAAACACAAAATGTTTTTAAATGTATATTTTTTATAAGCTGTAGTAGGCACTCCAATCAAGCCTGTTACCTGCTCTCAGGTAGGACAAATTTGGGAAGCTCCCTTAATTTAGTGCCCTGCTTGTACTCAAGAGGGGGTGCTATATGCACAATGACTGCTCCCCCCCCCCCCCAGCAACCTGGAATAATTTATTCTGGTTTCTCCTGTTCTCTTGGCACCTAAGATACCTTTCAAATCTGAGTATGTAGCTGGAGTATAAAATGCCTTAGCAACCTTAGCTGTACATGGCTTAGGATGCTGCCTGCCCTGCCCCCACTGGACATTTTTCAACCTCCACATTTACGGAAGGCAGTAAACTAAGCAAGTTCATGTGCTGTGCTGTGCTATCCCTTCCCCTTCCCCAATCCTGACCTCATAATTTTATAGAAAGAGCAGTAGACGACAAGACACCGCTGCAGCACACTTCATTAGCTGCAAGCGAGCACTGCCGCATTGCAGCTGACTTGTGCTTGTAAAGAAGTGTGGTTACAAAGAGAGATGCACATAATTTCAGATCAAATTCTCAAGCAGTGTCACTAACCAAAACAGGGTATTTACAAACTAGATACCAATGAAGGAGCCTATCATGATCTCTTACACGTGCTAGAGGATTGTTCCAATTTGACAGAAAGATGACTGATGTTATCAAGAGTGTCTAGTCTGCCATGCATCCTCTCCTAAATCTCAAGTAACACCCGCAATATTTCCAAGACCATTCTCAACTCTGCATGTACTGCAGCGAAATGAACTCCCAGAAAAAAACCTCAAAAGCATTGGGGGAAGTAGCTACCACTACCACATCTCTAAAGAGTCACAGAAAAAAATCATCCCTTTGTTTAAACAGCATTCAGACAAAGTGCTTGTCAACAGTCTAAACATTGGTTTGGCCATCTCATCAATATCGAGTTGTTTTATGCAATCAAGGTTGTGCAAATTTGCACAATATTGCATTGAAAGGAAATGGAAAAGCCACTTACATCTTCCACAGAATTTCAGAAATGTAACTGTTAACACTGACTATTTAGCATAATGTCACATTTGCAGCATAAATCTGAAGTTAGTCAGGGTTAATCCGTTTAACTGAATTGACTTAGGTTACTGCCTTTTGTTAGTTTCAGAAATATAGTCCAAGTAGCAGTAAAATTGAGTCACCTCTACTGAGATACACTAGTGATTAGCTTCTATTTCTAAAAATACAAGACAACTCCCCCAGATGAAAAACAGAATCTGCCATTTTGGAAAAAATGAACGTTTATTTCAGTTTGTCTATTAGAAGCAGCTGTCAATCACCAGACTACCATTGCTACAAGCAGAGGTACAGGCTAGAAGCTACATTTTGAGCCGCACGGAGACTTGATTAAAATTGACAATATGCACAAAATTCCTCTGCTGTTGATTTTTTTGCATTTAGAAACATTTTTATATTTTTAACGTTTTAATCAGTTTTGTTTCTTTTGTAGGCTGCATCCACACTATGGCATTACTACATATGTAGGTCATTGATTGTGTGTTTGCACACCTTTTGTCCACATAAGAATTTTCAGATTTAGTGCCTCCAAATTCTATCTAGCTGTTTCCCAGACATGTTGGTTTGCAGTTTGTAGAAACAATTTTATTTGTTTAGCTCTAAGCCATAACAAAGAGAAAAAAGACATTCAGAGTGGAGTCACAAATGTGTTTCTTAATTTCCTGGCAGCCAACTCAAATAAAGAAACACACATGGTAACTTAATTTTTATTTTCCCACAGCAAAAAGCACACAAACTTACTTGAGGTAACAAAAAAATTCCTGCAGCTAAACTAAGACGGATATTTTTCACAAGGATCTTTCTACAGAGGACATTGAGTAATGTGGTGAACAATGTCATCTATAACCATTTTACAAAGACACAGAAATTCTGTTCCAAAGGTAATTTCTTACAGCAGCCATCCAGAAAGGTAGCGAGTAAAGCGCTAGGCCTTAATTCTGTAAAAGCAATTATACGTGCAGCCAATGTAATTAACTCCAAGCAATTAGCTGTCTGATGTTATCGAGACAGGAGTGCAGACATGATGAAAATGTGGGCTTGGGAGAGCATATCTTTGTTTGAGTCTGTCTTGCCATGTGACACCCAAAATCTTCCTGATGCAGTTCATGTGGAAAGCGTTGAGGCGTTGCTCCAGGTGGGTGTAACTTGCCCATGTCTCACTACCAGAAAGCAGTGTGCTCAACACACAAACCTGGTAGACCTTCAGCTTGCTATTGGCCGTTAGCATTACATTCTCCCTTTTGGAGAGATGAGCCATCACTGTAGCTGCCTTGCCAAGAAGCCTGTCTAACTCAGTGCTGATGGAGGTTGCTGCTTATGGTGAAGTCCAGATAAACAAAAGGCGTGCTGGTAGGTAAATAGATAGATAATCCTACAAATTGACTACAGATTTGATAAAGTTTGGTGGGACAAAAGAAGAATCCAGCTTAGCAGTTGAGAACAGACCTTATACTTCCTCCAATTCAAAAGATTTGCTTACTTTCAGAGCCTGATAGAATCTAGAGCCTGACCTGTGACAGGAGACCTTTTTTAAAAAAGGCAGGAGAGTAGAAACCCAACTGAATAGCTAATTTGGAGCATTTTCAGTCTCTCTTCAGGGTTGCATGTAAAATTAACCTGCACCGAGTGAAGTATTACTTCCTTTTGTCTGTCCTGATTCTCCTGCTATCAGCTTCATTAAATAGCCCTGAGTTCTTGAGTTATAAAAAAGAGGAAGAGAAGTTTCCCTCTATCAGTCTTCTAGACACACATTAACTCTTTAACAAATATGTATTTCTAATACTCTGGAAATACTTTTAAGCACTTCAGAATGAAAGAGCAGCAGTAATCTTAAAGAATAGTTGAAAAACACTTGACAGCCAGTTCTGTGCAGGGAAGGTCAAGGCCACAAGAAACTGGAGTTTACAGCAATATGTTGCTGTGCTAAAAATAAAAATCTGAGGGTGCACTAAGGGCTACATGGCTTTCTATTGTTTCAAAGTGGTCATTTTAACACCACGATTAAAAACATGAGACCTCTCAGGCTAAGGCCAACTTGGGAATCAGCACTGAATTGAATCAATGCCCTATTGAGTTCTATGGCAAAATTCCTCATTAGCTGTAATCCATTCTTTTTGGGTTTTATGTGTCCTGAAAATACATTTTAGTAACTGAAACAGGCCAAATATAAATTAGTTTCAGATTCAGAAACAAAGAGATCCCACAAAATTATTTTTTCTAATTGATTTTAGAAAAAGTTATATAGAAACACAAACCACAAAAGGGAGAGGGGGAGATAAAAGAAAAAGAGAAGAAACAATGGGAGAAGGAAAGAAAAATAAATAACTTCTGATTAGTCTATCAACTATTTGTAAACATTATTCAACTCATCCACTCCAGTATTACACCTAACAAAACCACCTTCTATAAACCAACATTATCTTCAGTCTTCAAACCCAAATGCCATTAATTCATTTTATCGTGCAAAAAATCTGTAAGAGGTTTTCGATCCTTAGCAAATGTGTTAGAAGTCTTTTTTCTCTGATTAAACATGTCAATTTCACCATCTCGGCTAAGTCCAGTAATGTTAACAACCACCCTTCCATTGTTCGTAAATATCAGTCTTTCCACCTTTGCACATATCAAAGTCTTGCCGCCATGATCATCTGTTGGAATAAAGTTCCATTGGGGAC